AGGAGGACAGAGTGGAGTGGAGGATCAGAGTCACAGAGAGGTTTGCTGTGCTGTTGGTCTTGTGGAAGGAGGAGCCACGAGCCAAGGAGTGGAGGTCAGCTCAAAAAGCAGGAAAGCAAGAAATGGAATCTTCCCCAGAGACCCCAGGGAGAAACGTAGCTCTGGCAACAGCTTGATTTTGCCCTAGTAGAACCCATATCAGACTCTGACCTTTGTAATGTTAAGGTAATAATTTTGTAATGTTTTGAGTCACAAAGTTTGCGGGACTTTGTAAAATAAAGTGGAACTAAAATAGGCTCACGTTCACCAAATATGGGGCAGTTTGAACATCAATAAAGACAATAATTGTCATGGATTAAGACACATCGAATAAATGTACATTAGTGAGTACACGACTATAATGAAAAAAACCTCACCTCATTTGTTGTATTGAAAAGTGGCAAAGAGGAAAAATTTAAAAATTTATTTTGCCTTTCTCATACCAACTGTACCTCAGGAGGATGAAATAGTGATGAGGTGGAAGTTTCTCTCTGTAAACGTATTTTAGATTATAAAGAGAAAAGGATGATAGACTCTCATCATGTTGAACCCCTAATAAATTAATAGAGCTAGGTCAGTCCTTCTCTATCGGGGGCAATATTGGCATTGCCTAGTGGGGAGGGAGTATTAGGGCCACCTAGTAGGTAGATGTTAGGAATGTTGCTAAGTATCCTACCATGCACAAAATAGCCCCCATAACAAATAATTATTCAGCCCAAAATGTCAATAGATATTTGGCACTTTTGAAAAATCCTGACCTGTGTGATATAATAACTGTAACAATCCCCAGAAAAAAAAAAAAGAAACATTGTGTTTCTTGCTGCAAACATTGTGTGCTTCTTGCTAGAAGGACATGTGACCATCTGTGAAATACTATTGTCAGAAAAATAAATAAATAAGTCTGATGAAACCTCTGGATTAAACGGGATATACAGAAATAAAATAACATGTAAAATTATACTATAGGGATGTCAGCAAAAAATCTAGACTGTATGAGAGATCCAACAGAAACAAATGATGCAGTTTTATTTACAAAATAATTCCAACAGTAAGAAAGCAGAATTTATAGGTTACTAAATTACTATAAATTTATTAATTGATAGAGTAGAAGAATTCTCAGAGGCATAGTAGACAATTGGAATATATGGGTCTCATTCAGATTCTTATTTAAACAAACTGTAATTTTTATATGTATTAGATATTTAAGGAAAACCTTCAGTGGTGTTTTTATGGTTATTAACTAATGAAAAACATTTTATTTTCAAATGCTTTTCAGTGCCTTTTTAAATTTTTTCTATTTAATGCCTAAATAAACAATAAAGTTTAGAATAGCATCTTATTTTGTATTCCTGTATCAAGATAAAGGTCATGCCTTCTATGGGGAATGTCTTTCACAAGCAGCTGTGAATTACAAGTGTGTGCAGTCATAAGGTGATCCAACTAATTTAATTTATGAAGATTTAAGTTACTGAGAAAGTGCAGCCTTGAAATTAAAAAGTCTACCAAATAAAAAAGATAAAAATTGAAATGTAATAGATGGAATATATGATGGTTAATATTGACCATCAACTTGATTGGATTGAAGGTTACAAAGTATTGTTCCTGGGTGTGTCTGTGGAGATGTTGCCAAAGGAGATTAACATTTGAGTCAGTGGACTGGGAGAGGCAGACCCACCCTCAGTCTGGGTGGGCACCATCTAATCAGCTGCCAGCATGGCTAGGATAAAAGCAGGAAGAGGAACATGGATGCACTAGATTGCCTGAGTCTTCTGGCCTCCATCTTTCTCCTGTGCTGGATGCATCCTGACCTTAAACATCAGACTCCACTCCAATTTCTTCAGCTTTTGGACTCTTGGACCTACAACAGTGGTTGGCAAGAGGCTCTAGGGCCTTTGGCCACAGACTGAAGGCTGCACTGCTGGCTTCCCTACTTTTGAGGTTTTGGAACTCCAACTGGCTTCCTTGCTCCTCAGCCTACAGTAGGCCTATTGTGGGACTTTACCTTTTGATCGTGTGAGTCAATACTCCTTAATAAACTTCTTTTCATATATTCGTCTATCCTATTAGTCTTGTCTCTCTAAAGAACCCTGACGAATACAGAATATGAGACTATAGTAGTCTATTTCCACATACCTAATGCCCACTCTCAGCATTTCTGCTTCCTGAGATATCAAGACTTGGATAACCCTTCCAGGAAGAATCCCAACATGCTTAGGAGGGGTCTGAAGGCAAAGGATTGTGTGATGGTTGATGGAGAAATGTCACAAACGCTGTGACCACATGACCGCTTACAGAAATGAAGATATAGCATCTTCATGTATTTTCCTCCTTGATGTATTATGTATATATTTGTATTTTTGATTACTTTCTTCTTATCTCTTTCCCATACCATTTTATATAGGGCATGTTCATGATGGTGGATTTTCCAGTTTACTACACAATGTACAGAATGTTCAGACAGTATCCTCACATTTTAGAAGAGGAATGAGATTCAGATGGCATTTCCAATCTGGGAGATGAAGTGTTTTAGCTGACATCACTTTTAAATGACACTACTTTTACTTGTCTCCTTCCCATTGCATCTAACTTCATTCAGACATCTCTAACGTCTCAAGAGTATTACTGAAGCAGACCCAGCAGGCAGGCTGGTCGTCTTGCCTCTAATCTTTTTTGCCACTATCTCATTTGCCAGAGTGATAGTTTTTAAATGTGATTTTTTTTTCAATCTGTACTCCTTCTAAAAATTCTCCATGGGCTATTGTTTTCTATCAGAATAAAATTAAAAGATACTTAGACATTTGACACCGTCCAGGATCTGACCATGTCTAACCCGCCTGCTTTATCCTTACTACTCCCTCACTCTTCTCTGCCCTGAAATTGAACTTCCAGCATTTTTTGGACTTTCATTCTTGCTCACATCTCTACAACTTTATACAGGTTGTTTCTTGTTTGGGTTTCTTATCTTCTAGATAACTTGTTCTTACATTTCTGGTCTCAACCCAAAGGTCCTTTTATAGGAGGCCTTCTGCAATCATTTCCAGCAGATTTCCCTTCACTGTAACACTTACCACAATGCGTTATCATTGTTTCATCATCTGTCTTCCCTACTATGCGAAATTGTCCTTGTCAGGATGGTATCATATTGACTATTGTGTCCAACAACCATTTATTGACACTGACACAGAATAGATACTCCACTGATAATACTTGAAATAAAATTTTAATTTGCCAGCATTGTCATCTTTTAGGATGCCTGCCTATCTTGCAAAATTTAAGATTGCATTACTATTAATATAAAATTCAGATATCAAATGGGCTTTGAGTTCTATGTCTTCAACACTGTAAGAAAGCTTAGATTCTATGATGATGTGTTGACAAATGTAAGAAATGCAAATCAACTGACTTAAAGAAAATGCAAAAGGAAGAAAGGACTTTGACACCTTCAATGGAGTAGAGAGACCAGCTATGATCGTATTCTTTCTTTTCTTTCCCCTTTCTCAGTTATGTCTTCTCCTTCTTTTACATCAGTTATGGTTCTTTTCAAAGGGAATTCCACTGTCAGACAAGCCCAAGTTACAAGATTTACGAAAGTTCACCTGTGGCTCTGTTGTGTGTGTGAGGGCAGGAAAGACAGAGGGGGCAAGAGAAGTTCTCAGCGTGGAGACTTGAGGGTAACATTTGCCCAGCTAACTGACCTTCTTTGATGTTCAAAAATTCATATTAAATTATCTTACCCTTCACTGACTTTGGCTGAAGAGTTTGTCCTTAGATTAACTGTCTTTGACCTTTTATACAGTATCTCATAATTTGTGTGCTTTTTTGTGTGTTTCTGAAGATTCAGAGAGGGCCAGGTGTGGTGGCTCACACTTGTAATCCCGGCACTTTGGGAAGCCGAGGCAGGTGGATCACCCGAGGTCAGGAGTTCAAGACCAGCCTGACCAACATGGAGAAACCCCATCTCTACTAAAAAATATATTAAAAATTAGCCAGGCATGGTGGCACATGCCGGTAATCTCAGCTACTTGGGAGGCTGAGGCAGGAGAATCACTTGAACCCAGGAGGCAGAGGTTGCAGTAAGCCAAGATCACGCCATTGCACTCCAGCCTGGGCAACAAGAGTGAAACTCCATCTCAAAAAATAAAAATAAATAAATAAATAAATAAAGCTTCAGAGGAAGAGCTTATGAATTTTTCAGAGATTAATCATTTTTAATATTTTAAATGACATACCTATATATGCAGTAAAATTCTTCTCAAACTGTTTGGATACTGTCAGGGAGTGCCTGAAGCTTAACTTTTCTTGGTCAATAATAGTCTTTAGTACAAACAACCATTGATTATAACCCTATAAAGGTAAAACAAGACCTTGAGTTGGTATTTTTTCACTGAATTACCTCCGGCACTCAGGAAAAGACATTATGTTCACCTTTTGTAGGTCCTGCACAAAAACATTTTAGTCGGTCTTGACAATAACACTTTTCTCAGAATGTTGACTCACACAATTACTGCGTATGATGACTTACGCTACAAATTATTTAAAGTGAGTCTTCAAATGTAAAAACGCATTTTGTTTTAATGGAAGCACCATAACCTTTTATAAAATGTGGATGTGTAAGTACCAGTGGTCTAAGGTAACATCCATGAATAGGTTTATGATTACAAACGATGTGACAAATCAAAACAGTAAGTAGTAATTTTTTTTCAATGATCGTCAGGCTGTAAGAGTGGAGGTGGAAGAAGTGTGGGAAGTTTTATAACAGCAATATCTAACTCCACTGTTCATAAACATAACCCCACATCCCACACCCCATCCAACTCAACCACTCAGCCTCCTACATAACACCCACAGTTCATGTTATGTCGTCTCCTTCCTGGTTGCCAGGACAACATAGTTTACACCTGTGAGATCTGAGTTGGGTGAACACTGAGGTAAAGCTGTTTTCTCTAAGTCATGCTCGTGAGTCAAGTTGCCAACTTTGATGCTAACCCAGAGAATTTCCATAATAGTTTCTGCCAGGCCCCCTTCACCTCTTTATTCCTTAGGCTGTAAATCATGGGGTTCAGCATTGGTGTCAAAATGGCATAAAAGAGAGAGAACAACTTCTCCTGAAGGACAGAGAGACTGGAGTGGGGCTGGATGTAAGTGAAAATGGCCAGGCCATAGCACAGGGCAACCACCGTGAGGTGAGAGGCACACGTGTGGAAGGCTTTCTTTCTTCCCTCTGTAGACTGGATCTTTACAATGGTGGAGATGATCCAGATGTAGGACAAAAGAACCAGGCAGAAGGGTGTCATCAGAAAAACAATGCTAGACACCATGATGGCGGCCTCATTGGAAGAAGTGTCCACACAAGCCAGCCTGATCACAGCTAGGAGTTCACAGGATATATGATCAATAAACTTGTTAGTGCACATGGGCAGACGAAAGGTGATAGCAGTCTGCACAAGAGAATTGATGAAGCCACTGACCCAGGATGTGATGGCCAACCTAGCACACAGTGCTCCATGCATGATGGCCGAGTATCGCAGGGGGTCACACACAGCCACATAGCGGTCATAGGCCATCACTGCCAGGAGAACAAACTCAATCCCACCTAAGGCCAAGGAGAAAAATAACTGGGCTGCACAGCTCTGGAATGGGATGGATTTATGTTCTGCAAGAAAATGTGCCAACAGCTGAGGGACGATGCTTGTGGCATAGGAGACATCGACAAGGGAGAGGTTGGTAAGAAAGAAATACATGGGAGTGTGGAGTCGGTTGTCCAGTCTGATCAGAAGGACAATGAGACAGTTCCCCAGCATGGTCACCATGTACATGACCAAGAACAGGACAAAGAGGGAGACCTGAGCGTCCCAGTCACTGGACAGGCCGAGGAGAATAAAGTCACTCACCCAAGTCTGGTTATCTGTTCCCATTAAAATATTCAAGGATTATTAATCTGTGAAGGGAGTCAGAAAAAAAACAGAAGCTGTTGAATAACCGTAAGAATAACTTGTTTGAATGCATTCTGTACATGCCAGCCAGCCCTAGGCAGGTACTTCAGGTCATTTATTGGCCAAAATGACAGTCTTGACCCAACATGCATTACATTTACTTTATATCAGAGAGACAAACTGTGGCCTTTACAAGACACAATTTGATGTCAGGGAAGTCAGTTAAATCCTAGAAATGATGCATTGCAACATTAGGAGTTCTACATCTTTACGAACTTACTTCAGATTCCAGGGCAACGAGAGGATTGCAAATGACAACCAGCAGGTAAAATGATAAGCAATGAAGAAGAACATGGTTGGAAAGTTAACAAATTACCTTAAATATGTCAAATAGACTCATCTTGATGGAATGTGTAAATGTACTACAAAAGTAAATAATGCATTGCAACATTAGGAATTCTGAGTCTTTACCAACTTACTTCAGATTCCAGGGAAAGGACAGAATTTCAAATGACAACCAGCAGGTAAAATGATAAGCAATAAAGAAGAATATGGTTGGAAAGTTAAAGAATTACCTTAAACATGTCAACTAGACTTATTTTGATGAAACGTGTAAATCTACTACAAAAGGAAAGATTTGGAAGAAGCAAGGCCTGGAGGAAAAATCTGGAACTGGAAACCCATGTTTAAACCTGATTTTATTGGGCAGATTCATGATGTTGGTTTATTGATAAACATTATATATGCAAGAGGACATTATTACATAACTCACAAGTACATTTAGCATCAAATGTAGATAACATATGAGGAAAGTACTTTTTGAACTGTTACTGGTAGTACAACTGTAGAATCGTGTGTTTTAGTAGTAACCTGATGTCTGTGTCAGGATAGGTAAGCCAACAAACATGATTTTCCCTGCATCCTCTCCACAAATTCAGATACAAATAAAATTGGAGACCATCTGTAACATACCTGAGAGTATACGAATGGCTTAGATGATTTGAGGATCCTGCGGCCGACTGGTCTTTTGGGTAGCCTTTGACCTCTTTGTGGGATAGGATTGTAATTGCACCTTGGTCTCTCTTTTTTTTTTTTTTTTTTTTTTTTTTTTTTTTTTTTGCTTTTTTCAACTTGCTGCTGTTGCTATGGCCGTGAAAGAAAATAAATATGGATATGAATGCTTAGACTTTTTAGATATGAGGGAGGAAGAGAAAGCAGATGTCTAAGGACCCTTCTTCATTGTCCAAGACAGAGAGGAAGATATGAATTCACTTGAATGTACATTGGAATGGAGATTCCCTTCTCCTTACTTTTGCTCAGCAAGTGCTTTGTCAGTAAAACTAATGTTATAGCATCAATTTTGAACATTAAACAAAAACAAGCTACATTGTAAAAAAAAAAAAATTAGAACCAATTCCTTCTTATTCCATGTCTGCCTCTTCATGAGCTTTCCTTTTATTGCAGTGTCCACAATAAGGGAAAATAGGAAAGAAAGGAGGCAGGAGGCATTGAGGGCAGAAACAGGTCCGGACGGACTAGGGTCTCTTACCTACAAGGGAAAGACTGTCAGTGCTTCAACTCTCTTACGTGATAAAGGATTAAGCAAAACATGTAGTTCCAGAAATGCTCATCCCTTTCATAGTCGACATTCACATCCATTTTTTCTAGACTCTCCCTAATGTCCTCCTCAAGACCTTCCTTCTGCTCCAACATTTCCTCCTTTACTGCTCTGTCCTGATGCTCCCAGCAGCACCCCTCAGCAGCACCCCTCAGCGCTTTTCTAAAATAATAGTGAGCCTGAGAATACATTTGATTGCCTCAAAGAGACATTCAAATTTAAATTCTAAAAGCTCAAAAAGATTTCACTAAAAGAAAACCTGTCAACTATTATTGACTAGATTCCAGATTTGCATCTGAATTAGGCATTTTTCCATTAACTTGGCAAACACCTATAAAGTGCCATTGTTGTTACATGATGGATTTTTAGGGTGAATATTACCCTTAATTTTCACGTAGAGCTGACATATCAGTGAGGGAAAAGACATAGTGGTCTTCACTGTATTTGCTCCTCTGCCGCACTGGAGACCTTGCAAGCCCGTGACTCACTGTGCTCCTCTCAGCCACCCAGCATGTCTCTCCACTAAGTCCTTGTCACATTACAAATGACTGACAGTGTCTCATCTCAGAGAAAGTGTGAACTTCAGAATCTAACAGCTCCTGTGTTGGATCCACATGTGTTCTGTTTCCTGAGACTTGGAGCAAGATACTTAGCATTTTAGAGCCTCATATTCTTCATGTGTGAAAAGTGCCTAATATTGACCAGCTGAAGGGTCGTGGGTGAAATTAAAGGAGTTAAAGGACTAAGGTTCCTACAGGAGTGCTGGAACAGGCAGGTGTCCATTATTTACTGATGATCCTTAGTCTTGATTTCATGCTCTCTCATTGAGAATCTTCTTTATCCATTTACTCTCCCTCTCTACCATCCTCAGGTTTCTCTTGTTCCTGAGTAACTCCTTTGCCCTCATTATAGAAGAAAATATACAGGCATCTCAACTTAGGAAGCTTTACTGTGTATATAGCATTCTAAATCCCCCTTCGTTTCACATCTCTAATGATTGGAATCCATTGTCTGGATTTATTTCCTAATATTTATTCCTGAGCCTATAAATATTTCTGCCCTCACTAATCTATAGGATTTGAAAACTTAAAGGTTACTGATAACCTGCCATCATCAATTCCAGAGATTTTTTTTATCGTATTTTCATTTTTTACTTAGCTTTTAATAATGTTACCTGTTTCTTCCTTCAAACTCTCAACTCTGTCATGGACTTCTGTCCTGATTTTCCTCCAATCGAATTTGCTTTCTTAACCTTCCTTGTTCCCCTGCTCTGCTCTGTGAGCATTTGCTAAAGTTCTGTGCTCAGAACTTGTACTCAACTTCTACAGTTTTTCTTGGAAGTCTTTTTATTTCTAGTTATAATAATTACTATCAACTCTATATGGCTCACCCTCAATTTTACATTTAGCTTCTGGATTTCCCTTCAAAGCTCCAAATGCATTCCAGAAAAGCTGAATGAATGTTTCTTAAATATCTCACCGATGCCTGTACTCCTCTATCCACAAATGAAATTCCATCCTGAGTTCTTTTTTACTATCAGCAGAATTAGATTTCTCCTAGTCTCTCAGTGAATCATCTTTTATTTTTCCCTCTTTGCCACAGAATACATTCTCTTCCTTTATTTTATTATATATCTCCCCCATCTTCTCCTTACTCTCAGCCACACTTACCCTTTCCCTCTTTATTCCCATCTTCTAGAATGCCGGAGCTTCCTTGTAAATTTCTCTAATGTAACTTCCATTCACTCCAAAAATCCTACACACTACCTCCAAGTTAATTATATAAAATACAAATTTTTACGTCATTTTAAGCACAAAAAGATCTATAATGTCTAAGTGCTTAAAGATTTAAGTTTATCCTGGGCAGAATACTTTTTATCTAATCCATAATCTACTCTTCTTCTATGACTAACTTTTATTAACTATAGCATTTAGTATCATGCCCTGTGTTTTCCAACAAAGTCTTTTATTAAAATAAGCTGCTAATACTTAAATATCTTTCGCTGATATGTTAGCTAATTTTTATTAACCCATCAAGTTTGCTGTGTTTTTCCATGGCCATTGTGGGTTTCAAAATAATTAATACTCAAAAATATATCTTGTTTCTAACGTTTTTGGATTGATGTTAGATAAAGAAACTGTAAGTATCATCTGCACTTGGAAAACCAATTGAAAGAGGAACCATGTACAAGCCAGATGATTTTAACGCACCTTCAGTTAAAACCATATGCATATTATTCTGGGCTCACCTTTCAGCTAAATATAACTGGCTTTCTATTCTTATATCATGATGAACGGACCAGGTGCCAGGTAACATGCTTCATATCCAACCACTCCTATAGGAAGCCAAAGCTTGATCCTTACTGCTCTAATTTGTGGAATCTGTACTTCCCCTACACAAGTGACATTCATTGAAGTCAATTAACTAAGGAAAAAACGTGAGAATATTTCTTCAATTTGTCTGCGCGAACATAACTACCAAAACCTCTTAATACAAGCATGCAGCCAAGTTACAAAACCAGTGTTGGACAATGAACACAGCTAATAGTCCTATTTAGCTCTTCGTGGTGTACAAGTGTGACTTATGTGCTCTTCACAGTACTTGCCCAACACCAACAACATTACCTTTTTGCCAGGCATCTAATGTTTCTTTAGTAAGCAATAAAATTATATTTTACATTCATAGAGTTATATCATCTTTATACTCAATAAGCATCAAATCAATTTTTTTCTACATATGTTTTGAGCTTTCTTTTGACTGTTGAAAATAACCAATTCATGCTGCCTGCTCAGAACACAGTACTGAAGAGTGGCATTCCCTGTGGTTCACCTCCATAAACAGGATCACAATGAAAAAAGGAATTCCTATTGCCTGTGTTTTATGAAATGGGGTGAATGTAGGATAATCACTGTGACCATAAGAAATAGAAAACAATGTGTGATATAGTAAGAGAGGTGCTATCGAAATATTCTGTGAATGATTATCTTTCTTAAAGCCCTGTCTCTAATGCCTGAAATGTATTACATTTATGTTGAACATTGTCCTTTTTTGCGAAATGTTCAAAAATGCAATAATGCTAAATGAAACTTTTATAATATAAAGTACCTAAACATTATCAACTGGTATAACAGCTTACACTGATCCTTTACAATACATCACATAACAGTAAAAACTGGAGTTTTAGATGTAAATAACCTGAAGATTACAGAAAAAAATCAGGGAAGAGGTATGAATAGCAAAGATAAAAATTTTCTAGTTAAAATATTACCTTTATTGGAATGGCTAAGTTGAGCTAATTAATATGTGCATCACATCACATACACATTATTTTTGTAACAAGAATTCTTAAAATATATACAATAAA